TGATAAATCTTTTGTTTTGGTTAAAATTTACAAGCTAATATTTAGTATCTAGCTCTCAAACAACATACTTACTTAGTTACTTACGCCTATTACTCCTCGTGAAGGAGCATCGGCCGCTCACCACCATTCTCCATCAAACCCTGTCCTGAGCAATCCTTTCCAGCTCCTTTCCAGTTGTTATTCATCGTTTTCATATCTGCTTCTATTATCCGATGTAATGTGTACTTTGGCCTTCCACTTTTCCGCTTCCCTTCAGGATTCCAAGTTAGGACTTGCCTCGTGATGCAGTTTGATGATTTGCGTAATGTATGTTCTATCCATTTCCATCGTCTTTTCTTAATTTCTTCTTCAGCTGGAATCTGTTTTTTTCTCTCCCACAGAAGGCTGTTACTGATGGTATCCGGCCAATGGATGTTGAGTATCTTGCGTAAACAACCCTTTATAAATACTTGCACCTTCTTGATGGTGGTTGTCTTACTTCTCCAAGTTTCAGCTCCGTACAGTAGAACTGCCTTGACGTTCGTATTGAAGATTCTGACTTTGATATTGGTTGAAAGTTGTATGCTGAGGCCTACTGATGCAGAGACTGCTGCTACACTGGTTGTCTTCGTCTTCATCTGTTCGTGTGTATACGATAGGAGGGCTAGGTCATCTGCGAAGTCCAAATCGTCTAATTGATTCTCAGCTGTCCATTGTATTCCGTGTTTTACTTCAGATGTCGAGGTCTTCATAATCCAGTCGACCACTAGAAGAAAGGGAAGGGAGCGCGTAAACAGCCTTGTCTGACTCCGATCCTTACTTGGAATGCATCTGTCAGCTGTCCTCCATGCACGACTTTGCATTGTAGTCCGTCGTATGAGTTCCGGATAGTGTTGACAATCTTCTCAGGAACTCCGTAGTGTCGAAGAAATTTCCATAATGTCCTCCTATCTACACTGTCAAATGCCTTTTCATAATCAATGAAGTTGATGTATAGTGTTGAGTTCCACTCAAATGATTGTTCGACGATGATCCGTAGTGTCGCAATTTGGTCTGTGCACGACCGATCCCTACGAAATCCAGCTTGTTGATCTCGAAGTTGGGCGTCTACCGCGTCTTTCATCCGGTTTAGAAACACTCTGTTCAGGACTTTCCCTCGTTTTGACAGTAGTGTAATGCCACTGTGGTTTTCACATTTGCACAGATCTCGTTTCTTTGAAATCTTGATGAGGTGTCCTTCTTTCCAGTGCATTGGCATTTGTTCCTCCTCCCAAATCTTTTTGGATAGAAGGCAAAGCATGTTTGTAGTTACTTTGATGTCTGACTTCACTGCTCCAGCTGGTATATTGTCGGGTCCTGCTGCTTTCTTGCTCTTCATTTGTCTGATGGCCATTCTGATTTCTCCCGTCGTTCGTGGATCGACATCTGTAGGAAGATCTGTGTGCGCTAACTCGATGTCCAGTGGATTCATTGGAGCCGGCCTGTTCAGGAGTTCCTTGAAGTATTCTACCCATCTGTTCCTCCGTTGTAGAATTTCAGTAATTGGATTGCATTCTTTGTCCTTGACCGGTCTCTCTGGTTTACTATATTTCCCTGCTAGTTTCTTCGTTGTATTTTAAAGCTGTTTCATATTTCCTTCTCTTGCAGCATTTTGCTCTGTCGTATTTCTGCTTGTCGGCTTTAATGCTCTTCTTCACTTGCTTGTTTGCTTCTATGTATTCAGCTTGTGCTTGTACTTTCTCTGCTCGTGTTCGGCTGTTGTTAATTACTGTCTTCTTGTCCTTCCTTTCTTTGATCTTGTCCAGTGTTTCTATAGAGATCCATTCCTTATGATGATGTTTCTTGAGGCCCAGAACCTCGTGACACGTTGAAGTTAATGCTTCTTTGATACCTTTTTAGTTGTTCTTCATAGTAGTTCTTCTTCTTTCAGAAGATCTGTGTAAGGCTTGAACCTGTTGTTGAGAGCTATCTTGAATTCATTGAGTTTGTCAGTATCTCGAAGGAAGGCTGTATTGAACCTTTGTATTGCTGTTTGTCCACTTGTCCAGTTCCTTTTTAGCTTCAGTTTTAAATTGGCCACAACTAGGTGGTGATCTGAGGCTATGTCAGCTCCCTTCCTGGTTCTCACATCTATTGTCTTTCGGAACTTTTTATTGTTGCAAATGTGATCTATCTGGTTCTCTGTAGTGTGTTCCGGTGAGATCCATGTAGCTTTCGTATACGTTTGTGTGGAAATATTGTGCCTCCTATGACCAATATGTTGAATGCACATAAATTTGCAAATCTTTCTCCATTTTCGTTTCTCTGTCCCAGTCCATGTCGTCCCATGATATCTTCATATCCGGTGTTTTCTATCCCGACTTTGGCATTTAGATCTCCCATCACAATGGTGAGGTACATTTTTGAGCACTTCTCTATGATTGACAGCCGCCTCTCATAAAATTGATCTTTAATGTCGTCGTTGCTATCATTGGTGGGTGCATAACATTGAATAATATTCATTAAGATCCCCTCCTTCTTTGTTTCGAATGCTGCTTTGATGATTCTGGATCCGTGAGATTCTTATCCTACAAGTGCATTTCGTGCTACTTTGGACAGCATAAGAGCGACTCCCTGAGTGTGTGGAGCATTGTCCTCTTCGTGACCGGAGTATAGCAGCATCTCTCCCGTAGCTAGCCTTTTCCGTCCAGCTTGGGTCCAGTGGGTTTCGCTGATTCCCAGTACTGCTAAGTTGTATCTCCTCATTTCCATTGATATTTGACTGGTCTTCCCGGTTTCCCACATTGTTCGAACGTTCCATGTACCTACAAAAATTTTTGCTCTGGTTGTTAGAAGGGGCATCGGCCTCGTGGCTTCCGAAGTAACTCGGCTTTCACCATGAAGCGTCATAATTCTTCTAAATGAAGACCTTCTAACTCCTAGAGCAGAGTTAAAATGGTTTGGATTATTTTTCTGGTAAGCGTTTTTTTAGCGAGTTAGTTTTCTACGGGATGGGGACGCTAACCCCATACCCAACCCTCCTCCTTTACCCGGGCTTGAGACCGGCAATAACTCTAAAAGATCTACAGGCGGAGTTCTAAAACAACATAGTAGTTGTATTTCTGAAACCATACTTTTCGAAGTTAACTTCACATTTTTCATGAGACACTAGTCTGACTAGTCTGAAAAAGGAAATACTATGTTCTTAATTTACTTATTTATACCTGTTACTCCTTGTGGAGGAGCACAGACCAACCACCAGCACTCTCTATCAAAACCTGTCCTGGGCAATCCTTTCCAGCTCCTTCCAGTTCCTATTCATCCTTTCCATATCTGATTCTATTTCCCGACGTAGTGTGTTCTTTGGCCTTCCACCTTTCCGCTTCCCTTCAGGATTCCAAGTTAGGGCTTGCCTCGTGATGTAGTTTGATGATTCGCGTAATTTATATCCTATCCATTTCCATCATCTTCTAATTTCCTCTTCCAGTAGAACCTGGTTTGTTCTCTCCCACAGTAGGTTGTTGCTGATGGCATCCGGTCAATGGATGTTGAGTGTTCTAGACCTATACATTTATTCTCTAAAAACCTGATTTTAAAGACTAAAAAATGAAATAACTTTTATTACATGTCAAGAGTAGTCAATGCAACACTTCGATTAACATCATGTACTAAAGAGGATGTCATTGAAACTTATGAAAGTCAACTTCGTCACCTGATTCTTTAAAAAAATGAGTTTCACAGAAACCACATGTTTGATATTTTCACAACTTTAAACTATTTATTAGATTGATCCGTTTTCGTTCAAATCATGTTGAGTTACTGAATTGGATATTTTTAAGTGAGGTCTGGAATACGGAATAGTTAAAAATATTGACAATCAAATCAATATTAAGATCCCAACAATCTTCAACATTTAAACTCCGTATGGAAATGAACTCGAAAAACGTAAAAGACGTTTTTAGTTTATTCACTTACAGAAAATGAAGAATATGTTAATTTTAAAAAATGCTAAAAGTATAACTTATCATGGTAGTTAAGTGATATGTGTTATATAAGTTGTTTTCTAGGTATTTTTAGAACTTATTGAGATCATGAACCAACCAATTTTAGACCACTATTGAAAATCTGAAAGCACTGGACGGTCGCTACGTACTGATGTGGGACTTTTTAGCAGTGGGCATCCATGATCCTGCATACAGTACTTGGATCCAGGACCTTTGATCTCACGCGAACGTTTCATCTGTAAACCATCAAACCGACATCTAATGGTGCTAATGTCTAATTTAGTGGCCCGTGGATCTAACTCCATGTAGATCGTACGAATGTTTGTTATCGCCTATTCTCGTATACAATTATCGACTTAAATCACGTTAGTCAATAACGGAATTTAGATAAGTCAACTAACGAGAATGGCCTTTGAATACATATATTTTATATGTAAAGTGAATGTAATAGAACAAAGCAAAATGACGCGCAGTGGAGATAGCTGGTAAGCTAACTCGTTTTTAGCCAGGCGTTACTCAATATTTATAGGCAGACAAAATAAACTATAGACATGTGATGAGACATGGGATATGAAGTGTACACACATATACGCTCATATAAAGGCAGTCAAGACTGATAAGCGAATAGACTGACAAGGTCAACACATATAACTCAAGTAGAATGAATAGATTGGGCTGTCCGAAAGTTAGAATAAAGTATATAACTGACACTACACTAACATCAACTACACGACTATCTTTTACTGACACGATTGAACTCTACTGATCACGACTTCTCATTAGAACTTCAAGAATTACCTCTTAAAGCCAGTCACTGATGAACGTATGATAAATATCATTATAAAGTTGATCTGTCCGTGATCTCAATAAAAACTCAACCATCTCCACAACTCTATATTGATTTTCAAAATTTTTTAAAAAAATATATAAAAACATCAACTGATAAAAGATATTTTCGTAAAACTTAATAGGTAACTATTATGTACTTAGTTTTTCCCATGGTAACATTAAAGACTAGACAATCAAAGAAAATAACAATCAATATTCAATGATATATTTATTAGCAAAAAAAGCATTATTAATCAATTACTTACTATTATTTTAACTAACTATATCACGTAGCAACTAATCGGAATACAAAAATGTACCTTATTTTTTACAAAAAAAGGAAATCACTATCTATATATGAAAAACATTGGCTAAACATCCACTCATCTAGTTTATATCATCTTATCTTAATGAAACTAAGAAAATAAATTTGTGTATCAAACGGTTATCATGAATTATAAAGACAAACAAAACAAAACAAAACAAAGTGTAACAATGAAATACACACTAATCATCATCATCATCCTCAGCGGCAGCAGTAGCAGCAGCAACAACAGCAACAGCATCGGTTTATGCAATAAAACCTGAGATAAACAACATTTATTCTTCTATTTTCATTTTATTTGAAACAGAATTTAACATTGAAGAAAGTAATTGTTCTTTAGATTTTTCCATAAATTGTTTACTAATCTATGAAAGTTTTAAAAGAAAAGAGAAGTAACAATTAATTAAATTCATTTTAATAGTTGAGATCATCAGTCACCATGGTAAACCTAGAAATCCTATTGTGAGACTTCTCAACAGTGCGAATCTACAATCTCACCTCCTGGGATTCGAACCCAGGACTTAAAGTGATTTTGTGGAGATTGCTATGGAGACTGATCTTAGTAAGATAACAATTAACTAACTGATTAAAACTATTGTTATTATTCATATTATGTAACCTAGTTTTAGGTGGAGTTTTGTTCTCTGAGCTGGATGGTTTGGTCGCGGAGTTTTCATCGTTCTTCTGAACGACATCATCAGCACAAACTTCAGATAGAAATGAAGTGTTCGAATTTCTCCACATGTGTTTCACAGCTTGTTCTGTGCACCGCGATGTTGATCGGTTCTTATTGACCTTAAATTTGTCATTGTTTACTCCACTTCTACCTGAGGTTTGTACTGATGATGTCGTTCAGAAGAACAATGAAATCTTCACGACCAAAACCATTCAACTCAGATAACAAGACTCCATCAAAATCATCCACCTGAGCTACAAATCTTCTCCATCATCTCATGTAATCTAGTATTATAATATTTCTATTTTTACAGCATCTTGATTATTTCTTGTCCACATTTCCTCAAAGAATTAGTACATTAACAAAACGTTTTCACATACATATATATATGATTGTACAGCTGGATAATAAATTCGTTGAAAGGAGATCCCTTCGTTGAACTTAGTGTTTTTAATGCTACAGTTCTGCTTATGATATAGTGATAATTTCATCTCTTTTCATCCTGGCTTAAACACGCATACATCAACGATTATATCTCCCCTTACTAGTGTAATTATAGATATTTTATTGAGAAGATTTATCAAACTTACTTTTATTCTGACATTTTATGCTTTTACTGTTTGTTTGTTTTGTCAAGCTTATACTACGAATTAGTTACGTTATGCCTATCGCTATTGTGAAGATGCTTTTAAGACAGTTGATCATCATAAATCAAGTATATTTAAATCAGTATCATATGAAAAAACCAATGATATAGATTACGGTAATTTCTGTTACTGTTCCGAGTTCTTTGATTTTGCTTTCCTTTATCTCATCGTATAACATGACTGTACAATATCCTATTCGACATCTATCGTTTCAAAACACTAGTGATGTCAAAACTACATCAGTTTCTTGGCGTTTCTAACTTCTTTTATCCTGATTATTACGGATAACTCCGTATTTACAAGATTGAGGACTAATACAGTGCATTCACAGATAGCATTGCTGTACTCTAAAATGATTTCATCACTGATTATACACTAAGTGCTCATCATTTACTTCACATGATTAACATCACTATGACAAATGTTCAGTCAAAACAATCTATGAATCACGTCTTTTCAAATGATATACCGCTATTTCTTAAAAGATATTTCACCCTATTAGATTAGACCTGATCATGGCTGTGTGCATACTGTATATAATACTTATCATTGCAATAAACTAAACATTTCAATGGGAATCACTGGATTGTGATGATCCACTTTTCACTCGTTCTACATGATCTATATTTGATCTGAAGCACAGTCGTTAGTACTTATTGTTGAATATTGTGAAGGTAAAGTGGAATGTTTTTTAGCCTGAAGCTATTCCATCATATAAAACTATCGTGAACAAAACCGAATACACTTATCATTTAAACAAATACCAGTTCTTAGTTATACTCAGTTTGTTAAAGTCAGAACTCTATATTTCTTGTATCACGTAATTTTCCAAAGATTGTTTGCTATTCAATTGCAGTAATGCAGTAAACTCTCATCGAAGGACTAGGATTTTTGCGTCACAATTAAAATACTTTTAAAAAAGGATAAAAATTCATCATTACAAAGAACCTAAGAGAACTATAGTTTACTTTAAATGGCCATTTAGTTCATTCTTACTTGTTACGTAGGTACATTGAACCATATCTTCTAGTGATTCCCATGTTTACAATGTTTAAAAGTGAAATACGTTTGTTTTACCCATCGTCATTTACTCTGATTATTTACATGCACTTTGCTTAGAAGTGTTTATGACAATTCAAAAAGATATAGTTTGATCAAAATGAAGAAGTTTATCTTATGCTGAATATTGTAATGATTACTATTTATTGTCATCCTGTGAAGCGGAAATCCTGCTTATGAATAGAAATTCTCTCTATTCCAAAGTGCATACCTATCTGTTTGCTTAACAGTTCAATGATTTTATATGAGTTATTTTTCTTGACGACAAATTAACATCACTATCTCAGTGTCTATTTTTAAATGTTGGACTAAATATTGCATTGGATCACATTAAGATACTAATCAGGTGAGTTGCTAACCGGTGTCTCCTTACAAACATATATATCGTCTTAGAGAAACTATACATTGGCACAATTCCATTTGTGGTTTCATGTTTGACTAAGAACTGTTAAGTCACATGTTTTAAATGCAAATCATTTACCTCAGTTTTGGTAATTACTTGTCCTCACATAACTTTTATATTTCAAACTACAATAAGTAAATCTATACTCACTTACTGTTTTATAATGACAATAAATATTCTAAAGAAAAAATTATAACTTACCAGTTTAGACAATTTTTGGTAGCTTTCATTAAGTGTATCCATCGCTTTGACAGTTTTGTTGAGTGAGTTAGTTAATGCGGTGATTTCTTCAGATTTTTCTGAAGAACCATTTTCTATGTTATACAAAGTCATAGCTCGTCTACGTGGTATCCATTTAAATTCATTTTCCTGTCAATATATAAGATATATTTGTATTTATTACAAAATATAATAAAAGGTAACAGATATGATCTTTTGTGAAAGAAAGTCATCCCAGATAACTAACAAGTAACTTACTGACTTAACAGTGTAGTATGAAAGAAGACCTAACGAGTTAGAAATGATATCAATTCAATATCGTTGTTGAAAGCATCAATACATGGACTATAAACATACTATTCACTATTTTATATGGGTTAAAAAACCTTGTTCTTGTATGTTGAACGGTAAATTTGATCATATTTTTTTTAAAACAAGTTAATGTATGACACAGGATTGTATTTATGTAAATGACAGATCAATGAGTAGAGCTTCGAATCGTTGAGCATTTGGTGAAGGGAATTAAATTGCCTCAATGAACTCTTTATCTTTAAAGGCAACAGGAAGAATTCGACATGTGTACCCCAATATACCGAAGCTGCTTTTATCGAAAATTTAATAGTTAAATTCATAAGTCGGTTAAATCTAGACCACGATGGAAAACATGGACGACCGTTTCGTTGTAATGGTGGTCTAGCTATAATCGACTCATGAATTCAATAATTAAATCACTACAATCTCCGTAAGACCCAACTTTACGATAATATTTAAAAGTATAAATAAATTAATGTATTTTTAAATATCCCAATAAGTAGACAAATTAGATTTTCTGACGTTTCGTAACTTAATGTAGGCTACTTCTTCAGAGAATAAACAACCAAATCAAAATTAATCCAAGTTCAGACAGTACAAATGGAACAAAACAAGAATATTTTGATTTGGTTATTTATTCTCTGAAGAACTAGCCTACATTAAGTTACGAAACGTCAGAAAATCTAATTTTTCTACTCATTGGGATATTACAAATATATTGATTTATTTATAACAATCTACCCAATGCTAAATTTATTCCAAATTATTAATTCTATCCTTGGTAATGATACCTATATTTAAAAGTAATTTGTTTATTGTTATTTATCTAGCTAATTATTTGATGAGTTAACGTTCCGCATAGTTACGTAATCATATATATATATATATATATATATACTAGAACAACACATATAAACGAACAATTGTTTTCAATTCGATCGGCATCAGGCTTCACTCTAATATACATGAATATTTATACGAATATGTTAAACCAATCTAGGTAATATGGGTCAATGAAATGGAATAACATATATGAGCGAACAATATTATTTTCGATTAGATCCTCATCAGGCTTTACTCTAATATACAGTAATATTTATATGCATATACGAATTATTAAACCAATCAAGGTAGTTTATAAGTCAATGAGTAACAATGAAAACGATTACATAATAAGTAAAATGTGAAAAGTACAAATTGATGGTGTGACAACAGGTGCATTAGTTTTGATAAGCAATAATAATAAAGGTTCAAACCAATGTTACATAGTGGGAAATAGGTCAGTGATTAGAAAAATATGGAAGCTGAGATAACAATTATAAAATTATAAGATGACGTAATAAGAAATGTTCAGATAATTGGACCATGAAACGTATAGTTGAGAGAAAATAAAGTGGTAGGAGGGGGTGAAGAAAAATAACAAACAAAGAGAAAGTTAGAAAAGGAATAAATAAGTAAATAAATTCATTTATTACTTAAGGCCAAGGGAGAGATAAGGGAGTTACAAATTTCTTCTGAGCACAAAGACTTGGCTTGTTGTCTCGGATTCCTATAGCTTCTGCTTCTTCGATTTCATATCTAAAGTGGAACACATAAATTTAAATGGGAAACGAATGATATCTTTAAATGTTGCTTCCCTGTTCACCAATGTACCGTTAACAGAGACTATCGATTTTGTGTGCCAACAACTGCAGGAAAAACAAATCAATATTGGAATTCCTGGGTTAGTCTTAAAGAATTACTTTTAAAATGTACAATGAATGTCCATTTTGTCTTTAATAACACATATTATAGACAAATTGATGGTATTGAGATGGGTTCGCCACTAGGTCCCATCCTTACAGATTTTTTTCTGGCGAAACTAGAAAACGGACCTCTCAAGGAGGTTATCAATAAACTGGATTTCTACTGTCGTTACGTTGATGACACTTTCGTCATTGCCGATCAGAACATTAGAAAAGAACAACTACTGGAACTATTTTATAACAAACATCCTGCTATTAAATTTACATGTGAGGGGGAAATAGATAACAAATTAAATTTTCTGGACGTTTTGTTAAGTAGAAAAGAAAATGGTTCTATCAGCAGAGGTGTGTATAGGAAAAGTTCTTCTCCAAGCCAATACACACATTTTTTAAGCTTTGTGCCTCTTCATAATAAGAGAAACTTAGTCAAATGTCTTGCAAATAGAGCTCTTAATATATGCTCAGTCGACACAATTGATAGAGAATTACAACACATCCATAATAGTTTGACTGAATTAAGATATCCACTGGGGTTCCTGAAGAAACACTTCTGGGTACAAAGCAAGAAAATAGTGACTCTGACGGCTAATAAGAAACCGCTTTTCTTGAAGCTGCAATTCAATGGTGATGTAGCTAGCGATGTATTACGGGATAGATTGACTAGAGGAGTAAGGAGAACGTTTAATGCTGCCAACCTCTGCCTATCGTATTCGACCCGATCGATGGTGATTCCGCAATTGAAGGATAAGTTACCTGGTTATGCCACTTCTATGTGTATCTACGAATTCAGCTGCTCCTGTGGAGAAAGCTATATTGGGCGCACTACCAGGCAACTGAACCAACGAGTTAGTGAACACCTCCCTTCAAGGTTAGGAAAAGGTTGCTCCAAAACAATACGCAGCTCGGTTCTATCACACTTGATCGATAGCGGTCATATAGTGGACAGAAGCAAGTCATTCAAAGTTGTTTATCGTATTCCCACTAGTTTTCCTTATGGTGCTCTATCTCGTCTCTTACACATAGCAGAAGCTATAGGAATCCGAGACAACAAGCCAAGTCTTTGTGCTCAGAAGAAATTTGTAACTCCCTTATCTCTCCCTTGGCCTTAAGTAATAAATGAATTTATTTACTTATTTATTCCTTTTCTAACTTTCTCTTTGTTTGTTATTTTTCTTCACCCCCTCCTACCACTTTATTTTCTCTCAACTATACGTTTCATGGTCCAATTATCTGAACATTTCTTATTACGTCATCTTATAATTTTATAATTGTTATCTCAGCTTCCATATTTTTCTAATCACTGACCTATTTCCCACTATGTAACATTGGTTTGAACCTTTATTATTATTGCTTATCAAAACTAATGCACCTGTTGTCACACCATCAATTTGTACTTTTCACATTTTACTTATTATGTAATCGTTTTCATTGTTACTCATTGACTTATAAACTACCTTGATTGGTTTAATAATTCGTATATGCATATAAATATACTGTATATTAGAGTAAAGCCTGATGAGGATCTAATCGAAAACAATATTGTTCGCTCATATATGTTATTCCATTTCATTGACCCATATTACCTAGATTGGTTTAACATATTCGTATAAATATTCATGTATATTAGAGTGAAGCCTGATGCCGATCGAATTGAAAACAATTGTTCGTTTATATGTGTTGTTCTAATATATATATATGCTTTGTGGGAAACGGAATAGTTTCACTCCCTACTACCCAATAATACATGCATTTGACCAATTTAAACAAACAAACAAAAGAACAGGCGAATTTTCATGTCTCATATTACAATCACATACTCTAGAAATAACCAAAATCCAATCTCATATTCATCTTAATAAACTAAACAGGTTTATAATTCCAACTTAAACGTTAAAATTATGAAACTAAGGAAAGGGATCTTTTCTCGAAAATTGTTTTTAAAAAAAAGAGATCTCTTCACCAAAATTCATGTTCTTGAATTCATATTATCTATTATTGTCTCTGTTGTTTGAAACAAACTGTACTAGATGTAGGTTTCAGAAGAAATCTTTAACAAATTAGTAAGTTGAACAGTTGAAATCATGAGTCAATTGAAGCTAGACCACCATGGAAAACCCGGAAGCACTGGACGGTGAACTCGTCTTAGTATGGGACTCCTCAGCAGTGCGCATCCACCATCCCACTCTCGGGATCCGAACCCAGGCCATGTCAATCTCACGCGCGAGCGCTTAACCATTAGACCACTGAGCCAGCATCCAATGGTTTTAATGCCTATCTTTTGTGTTATTTTGCTGTTCCAGTTAATTGTTCATCATATTCAGATAATACAATTGATTAAAACAGTTTAATAAGGTTGTTGTTATCCAGATAATCAGTGATATATTAAATAGAATAAGGTGTTCACGTTTACCTATTAATTATTAGTTGCCAAGGGACAACTAATCACATTCCATCTCTCCTATTAATACTGTTTGGATTTGTATATATACGTAGGGCTTTGGCTTTTAGTCTTTTTTTTTGGTAAAAATTCAGACCTTTTTAAAGTTTTCTTATGCCATTGAAATTAATTGTATGATCTAACTCTATTGAGTATAATGCTACCACTGATTCGTTTGCGAACTTTTTTATAGGATCTGAGGATTTAGGAATGTTTTATAACTAAAGTTTGTGCTCCTTCATCCTTATATTCAGTTTTCATTCTTATATAACTTCAAATATAAATTCACTAGTTATTGTTTATTTGTATCTTCCAATTGATGTTTAGGACTTCAGTTGATCAGTTTCATGTTGACATAGCTTCATTTTGTGTGGATGGCCTTGATATAAGCTTAAGTCACAAGCATTATAAAGAAAAATGGATAGTGGCTAGTAGTGGAATCCACGACGCGTGTTTCGTCCTAGTTAGGACTCTTAAGCTGGATATATTCAGAAAAAAAGAACCTACATTAAAATTAGGAAGTACCTATACATTTTTATAAAATTACGATTCTTAGCAAATTCATTGATAGGAAACAATCAACAATACCAAAAGCATCTAATCTCTGTAATACAACTGGACACATTTGATTTCTGATAGAACCCCTATTGTCTAGACATATCTAATTGATTGATAATAAATAGTTCCTGTTTAATGACAGAATAAACAAAACAGTAAATATCTCTATGGAAGAAAATAATAACAATAATCCTTTCAAAAACAAACAAAAATTCACCTAATATTTTTCTTTATTCATATTTTCTTTTTCTTAAAAAAATGAAAAAAAACAAACAAAAATTTCACTGATTCATTCATTCATTCATTGACTTATGTAGAAATATCTTGATTAAATATGAATTGATTAATTTCTAATTATCAGAAGGGGTTTTGTGGAGATTTTGAAAAATTTCACTGATTGAAATCATGTGTCAATTGAAGCTAGACCACCATGGAAAACCTGGAAGCACTGGACGGTTGTTTCGTTACCAGTGGAGTTCAACCAGGTCTGTTGTGAGATATCAACTCACTGAAGACAATAGTGTACGGTGGTGCAATTTCGTGGATTGGTTGAAGTTAGACATTAACACCGTTGGATGCCGGCTCAGTGGTCTAGTTGGTTAAGCGCTTGGTGCGAGACTGATAGGTCCTGTGTTCGAATGTCGCGAGAGGCGGGATCGTGGATGCTCGCTGCTGAGGAGTCCCATACTAGGACGAAACGGTCGTTCATTGCTTCCAGGTTTTCCATGGTGGTCTAGCTTCAATTGACTCATGATTTCAATCAGTGTAATTTTTAATTATTTGATAAGATAATAGAATTGAATTACATCTATGGTTTATTTCAACGCACTCATAAATGATATAATTTTATCCATAATAAAAATCATGAAATAATGGAAAGTAAATAAATTTTATGTAGAGGAAGAAGAAATCTTTTGAATTAATTAAGAAAAAAACATGGGAGCAATGAAAAGCCATTTTGTTCTGGTATGGGACCGCTTGGTAGTACACATCAACAACTCAGCAAGCAGGACTCAAACCAAGAACCTTCGGTTTCGCGTGTGAATGCTTAACATCTAAAATAACGAACCGGCATCCTGTGCTTGCAGGATATCAATGATGGTCTCACTAAGACTGACTTGTGAATTCAACTATGAAAATACTATAATTAATAAACTTTCATAAAATATACTTTGTTGTAGATGTTGAAAGATTTTATTAACGTAGAATTTGGTTCCCTTATCGTATTCAGTAAATATTATGCCTTCTCGTGGCAGGGCTGTTGTTTACGAAATTGAGAGGATGAAAACCGAATGTCCGGTACTTTAATCGGGATCGTGGATATGAAGGATCTGTCAAGAAGAGTTGGGTAACCCTCATTCTAAACCAATGGTATACATGGGTTTCAGAAAACAAATGGCATATCAACCTATTGTTGGTCATCAGCTACCATGGGCATGCATCTCCTGACGTTGCTCAACTACCTTGTGGATCAGACCTTCAGGTCGAAGGCTCGGGGTGTGGCCCCCTAAGAAAACCACCTGATACGGTTTGGACACCTGGACAGTATCCCAGTTTTCACGCAAATCGAATGATTTATTTGGCGCATACCCATTTGTTGCCTCCTTGAACCAATATTTATGTGTTTAAATAAATAAATAAAGGAAATGTAATTATTCAGTTTAATATGAATTTTAATGAATATTCTCTTATTTTTTATAATGGTCTGTCACACAGATATATTAGCAACAACCAACTGTGGGAAAGAACAAACCAGATCCCAGTAAAGGAAGAAATCAGGAAGAGGCGATTGAAGTGGATAGGATACACATTGAAGAAAGCACCCAACTTCGTCACAAGACAATGCCTCACATGGAATCCTCAAGGCCAAAGGAGAAGTGGAAGACCAAAGAACACATTACGCCGGGAAATAAAGATAAACATGAGAAAAATGAACAAGAATTGGATGGAATTAGAAAAGAAGGCCCAGGACAGAGTGGGTTGGAGAATGCTGGTCGGTGGCCTATGCTCCATTGGGAGTAACAGGCGTAAGTAAGTAACTGTCACACAGAACTATACGAATTCTTGACATCCAAGTGAAGGTGTATTCATTAAATTCAAAGAAGAATAGCTCAGTTAAAAGTTATTTTAGCTCAAACACCTGCAACACTAATATTTCATTTATCTAGTAACATACTTCACCATTTGTGTGTTTTGAATGCAAGCATAATCGTCGTTATACAAGTTCAAATTTCTATTTTACGAAGACAGTTATTTGAGATATTAAGTTTGTATGATGAAGTTACCTTCTGTTATTCAAGTACGAATTTCCAGTGCCTGCTAAACGTTAACAACGAATGTTAATCATCGCCATTCGACGTTGTAGTGTAAATGTACATATTATAACTTTCAAAGGCTGACAATCCTAGATTTAATATGATATCAAGACTGTGTGTTTAATATCTACTTTTTAAAAATGATTTCCTACTTAATCTTAACGTGTATGGAAAATTACACTAGAAAAACTTTAATTAAACCATATCATGAATAGATGTGTTATAACTTGTGAACCTGTGTGCCCTGTATATTGGATAACGCAACGATACCGCAATCAGAGAGCAGCAAAATTATCGATAGAATCAGTGATGCATAAAACACGTGCGAGCAGCCTAGAGTCCTGATTGTTCCCGCTTCCTGTCTAGCCTAGCCAGTTAAGTCCAGAACACCAATCTCAGCCTCTACAATATGAATCATGTATTTCAAACATACTGAGTTTATATACCAATCAAACAGACCACAACGTACCATAAAATAGAAAATAATATTTGTACAAGATTTGGTCAAATGTGGCTGTGAATGGAGGAGATAGTAATTAATAGACAGGCGTTAACTCAAGAATGGGTCAAAACAAAGCTCATAATAAGAGGGACATGAATATGTATAGTTTAGTTACTTAACAATTATACGATAAGAATATACTCATAGTATTGGTCCATAAATGGATCCCAAAAATTACCATTCATTATTCTTATCGGGATATAACAAGATGGATACTGGCTAACAGTGGAATCCAGGACGCGCGTTTCGTCCTATTTGGGACTCGTCATCTGGATGTACCTGCATCTCAGAGTTAGTGTTCGCTCTGAGACTCGAACCCAGTACCATTAGCTTCAAACGACAGTACTGGGTTCAAATCCCAGAGTGAACATCAACTCTGAGATACAGTTACATCCATCTGACAAGCCCCAAATAGGACGAAACGTGCGTCCTGAATTCCACTACTAGGCACTATCGATCTCTCTTCAGAATGCTTGTGACTTAAGGAAATATCGAGGCATTCCGCACAGGACGCACACATGCCAACAAGAGACTGATCAATTGAAGTCCTAAATAACAATGGCAAGGTACCAGTAAAACAACACCAAGTGAACATGTCATGAATACTTCACACATCTGTGTATCAGGCAGTTACTATCAAAAGCGTAAATAATACCTACCAAATCCTGTGTTTATTACAATGATTATTCAAAAATCATAATTGTCAACATTTTATTATTGAAAATTCCAACCAAACAAACATTTGCTACATTAATACATTTAAAATAATTCATTCTTAATGATGTATTTGATAGAATATATCATAGTAAAAGTAGAGTTCTTATTCTATTTTAACGATCACGTTAATACATCAACAACAAAATATCCATTTCTTCACTGAAAATTAGGAAAACTTTCAGCTTATGAATAAACTAATGTCTTTAGTTCAGTTCAAAAAACTAATAAATACTAATGAAATAGTAACGTTGAAAGTAGTATTGATAAAAGGTGATTAAAAACATTTTTTCTGATAATAATTACGTGTCGATAGTTGAAATCATGAGTCAATTGAGGCTAGATCACCATGGAAAACCTGGAAGCACTGGATGGCCGTTCCGTCTTATTGCAGGACTCCTCAGCAGCGCGCATCCACGATCCCGCCTCTCGCGACATTCGAACACAGGACCTATCAGTCTCACGCGCGAGCGCTTAACCATCAGACCACTGAGCCAACCAGCATCCAACGATGTTAATGTCTAACTTCAACCAATCCACGAAATTGCGCCACCGTACACTATTGTCTTCAGTGAGTTGATATCTCACAACAGACCTGGTTGAACTTCGCTGATCACCGCTTCTCAATAGAACTCCAGGAAATGCTTCTTGAAGTCAATTGACTCATGATTTCAACTTTTGAAATTACTAAAAATCTTTACAAAACCCCTTATGATAATAATTACATGTTTAAATAAGAAATGATTGTCATTATCTCAACTCAATCAATAAAATACAAATCTCTTCAGTTCAAAAGTTTTTCAGAATCAGTAATCAAAATATTATGTAATATATTGCTTCAATATCTCAACAACAACAACAACATCAAAAATCGATGGGACCATAATTTATGGGCGACCTTTGAGAGACTCTAGACTGACCTTGCGAGTGTCCACCCAATAACTAGGACCAAATAAGGGTTATAAAGTAGTGTGAGAAATGAGAATTATAATTGACAGTTTTGGTGATTAAGGTTAGAAATCAGATTTAGAGTTTTCATCATGAACTGACATCAGCTATAATGCCAAAACTCTATTTATCCGGATGGATGAGTGAATTTCGCGCGAAAACTCGAGACCTATTATCTTATACCTGATTGATTCGTCTATAAATTAATCATTTGTAATCGAATACATATTATATTCTATATAATTTACTTACTTTGATAAGTTTATCAATGTAAATTTCTAGACCAGTTAAGTCATCGGTTAATTTTGTTCTTAAATATATTATAAAATATATAATGCCATACATTATGATCCACTTCAACATGTTCATCAAAGCTTGTATTCGAATGATCAAATGCTGAACGATGTAATCCTGAAATATAAACATTAATATTGAATTGTATTGAAGCATAACAATAATGATGATTCAGTGAAATAAATGAATAGGAATTTCTGTATAATAGGAAATAAGGATGTAATGGATCATTATTGATTTATGATTTGAAACTCTATAGAGAATAAAATGCAAGTAGGGAATTCATCTATCTAAAGAGAGAACAATTTAACTTGGTAAAGCAATTAGAATCCAGTAATTCATATTTTATTAAGATAACCTTATCCCCCATTTCATTTCCTAATGAGATACTGTTGCTGTCTTTCTTTTTTAACTTCAACTACTTCGTACATCATGAACAGTCACTGATAAAACTCTGGTAAAAAAAATCAGGAAACTAGAAACTAATCAGTATATGATTATTATCATTATTTAGCTATTGTACACAGTTTCAATGCGTGGTATAGCAATGTGTTAACCTCTAGGTCCTATTCTTACTGAATTTTTTCTTGTGAAACTAGAAAATGGACCACTCAAAGATGTTATCGATAAGCTTGACTCTATTGTCGTAACGTTGATGACACTTTCATTATTGTCAATCGGAGCATTGGAAAAGAAGAACTCTTAGAATTATTTAACAACAAACATTCAGTAATTAAATTTACATGTGTAGAGGAACTAGATAATAAACCAATTTTCCTTGAAGTTTTGTTAAACAGAAAAGAAAACGTATAATTCACTTGGTATTGTTTTACTTGAATCTTCCCATTGATGTTTTAGGACTGAAATTGATCAGTCTCTTATTGACATATGTGCATACTGTGTGTATGCCTCGATATTGCATTAATTTACAAGCATATAAGCAAAGATGGCTAGTAGATTCAACTACTAGCCACATATGCCAATAAGAGACTGATCAATTTCAGTCCTAAAACATCAATGGGAAGATTCAAGTAAAACAATACCAAGTGAATTAAACTTTACCCCATTGCACAAGTAAGTGGCTATCAGGACTCAGTAGCTAAGTGGATAACGCGATGGCGTCTGAAGCGACGGTACTGAGTTCGAGTCCCAGAGTGGACATCAACTCTGAGATGCAGGTACATCCAGCTGACGAGTCCCAAACAGGACGAAACGCGAGTCCTGGATTTCACTGCTAGCCAATATCCATTTTTGCTTAGAAAAGAAAACGGTTCTATCATTAGAAATGTGTGTAGAAAAAGCTCTTCATCAAGGCAATGAACACATCTCTTAAGCTTTGTACACCTTCATTATAAGAGAAACTTAGTCAAATGTCATGCAAATAGAGCTAGGAAGAAATGCTCAGTCGATACAATCAACAAAGAATTACAGCTCATACAAATATGTTGATTGAAATGGGTTATGCACAAGGTTTCCTAAAGATACACATGTGTGTAAGAAACAAGCAAAATGGCGACGTCAACAGCTAGTAAGAAACCTCTCTTCTTGAAGCTGCAATTCAATGGAGATGTAGCTGGTGATATACTACGTGATAGACTGACTGGAGCACTAAAGAGAACGTTTAATACAGCCAACCTCTGTCTATCGTATTCGACCCGATCTATGGTGATTCTTCAACTAAAGGATAAGTTATCTGGTTATGCCACTTCTATGTGTATCGACGAATTCAGCTGCTCCTGTAGAGAAAACTGTATTGGGTTCACTATGCGACAATTGAAACAAAGAGTTAGTGAACACCTCCTTCGTGGTCAGGAAAAGGTATTATCATGATAATATGCAGCTCGGTTCTATCGCACTTGATCGATAGCTGTTATGTAGTAGACAGAAATAAGTCATTTAAAGTTATTTATCGTATTCCCACTAGTTTTCCTTATAGGGTTCGACCTCGTCTCTTATACACAGCTATAGGAACCGAGTCAATAATCCAAGTTTTTGTTTCGTAAGAAATTTATCTCTCCCTTGCCCTTAATAAATGATTTATGTATTATTGTTTTCCACACTCTTCGTTTGTTATTTATTCTTCATCTCCTTTTTTTCTCTTTTTTTAAAATTTACACTTCATTTTCCAACTACCTGAACACTTACGTAATCACGCAATTCTACAATTTTTCATGAATGTTATATCAGTGACTACATAATTTTCAAGTCACTGACATATCTCATATTATGAAACATTATGCCAACTTTTATCATTCTTATCACAACTAGTACACTCGACATCCTACTATCAATTTGTACTTTTCACTTATTATATTTATTTATGTAATCTATCCAGTATTATCATTGACTTATAAACTGCTTTGATTGGTTTAACAATTCATATATGCATATAAATATTGTGGTGTGCGCTACTTATATACACATAAGTAGTATATAACGATAGTCAGGTACAGAATGTATTTCAATAGAAGATCGAGAACAAAAGAATGGGAACGGAAAGCTATTGGTAGGAAGTTGCATAAACAATTAAATTTTACAAATTAACTATTTACTGTATGGTTCTCAAATTTTAGTAAGATATTCTGTAATTACGTGTTCAAACACATTCGATTGTAATCACTATTGATTGATCAATGAATGGTGATCAATGTCGTGTGTGTCAAGTCCTTATTAGTGCACATTGAATGCTATCAACGAAGTTGTGATGTGACCACCACCTAGGTGACTCGACACTGCGTGCACTATGTTGAGATTAGATGATGGTTAGTGGTAGTCGGCAGGAAATCCTGAACCCGGGTTTCATACTACTTGGCACTCGTCAGCAAGGTGTACCTGTAATCTTGAGGTGACTGATGCTCCCCGACGTATTCGATCCCGTGTCACCCAGCTTTACAGTCACATAAAATTGGGAATTTTTCAAACTATAATTTTTTTACTTACCACAAACACAACAATGATTTTTATTTAATTCTTCAGAATTTTGTTTCTCTTGACGAAGTGCAGCAAATGTATCCACAATCACACCAAATATCAAATTCAATATAATAACAATAACAATAACAAAAAATGATAAATCATAAATTGTTCGAAAAAGAAATGAAGCATCCTATTTAAAACAAGAGAAAAAAATAAGAAAGAAGAGAACAATGATCGTAGAGATAAATGTAAAAAAAAACACTTAGTTACATTGATAATAACAAACATTTATTATAACTACTATACATCGAATCTTGTGAGGTGGGATCGTGGATGCACACTGCTGAGGAGTTCCACAATAGGACGAAAAAAACCGTCCAGTGCTTCTAAGTTGTTCATGGTGGTCTAGCTACAAATGATTCATGATCTCAACTATTAAAATATATTAATATACATTAAGTAAAATATAATTGTTATGAAACAGAATATAAACTACTTTCTACCAATAATTAACCTTGTAAAATTAAATCGTTAAGAATTTGTAGAAAAAAATACGTATATAAATTGACAGACTAATACTCACTATCTTCTCGTGGCGAGGGTATTGCTTACGAAATTGCAAGGATAAAAAGCGAATGTCTGACGCTTTAACCGAGTTGATAGACACGGAGAGTTCACCTAGAGGAGTTGGAAAACCCTGATTCCGAACCAATGGTATACATGGGCTTCAGGATCCTAAGGAAACAAATGGTATATGAACCTATTGTTGGTTACCAGCTACCATGGGACTGCATCTCCCGACGTTGCTCCATTGCCTTATAGATTAGACCTACGAATGTTATCCCCTAAGAAAACCACCTGATTTGGTTTGGACACCTGGGCACTATCCCAGCTCTCACATAAATCGAATGGTTAATATTGGCACATATCTATTTTTGTTACCTCACTGTACGATTGTTTATATGTTTAAATCAATAAGTCAAATATTAAACAGTTGGTTTAAAAAAATCACCATTCCATTTATTCATTACAAAAAAAAAAAACCTAATAGTGTTTATGTGAATAAATTATCAAACGATTTATATTTGTTGCTATAGTCTGTCATGATAGTTTTTTTTTTTTTTTTGGTAAATAAATGTCAATGAATAATGAGATTTTTAATATATATTTCCGATTAGTAGAAACATTCAATTACTAACGATACAACAATCGAGTGTAAATTGATTTATTGGAAAGTGAAGTCATTTTCTTTTTTTTTTTTTTTTTTTTTTTTTTTTTTTTTTTTTTTTTTTTTTTTTTTTTTTTTTTTTTTTTTTTTTTTTTTTTTTTTTAAAAATTAACCTACATTGAAATAATATAAGGATCAAACAATATACAAACAAGTTTGACAATAATAATAATAATGATAATGCTGTATTATCCAAATGATCAAAAGTGATCTTACTTGTGGTTATGGAAATTGTGACATTTATTGTATGTGAATGAGAAAATTAATTAATGTATGTGTTGAGATATGAAAAGGTTATCATTATCTACATAGAAAGATATTAAAGGTCAATTGGATAGTTATGCTAATATTTTGAAAGGTAAAATATGTGTATTGATAATGAATATGATACATTTGTGTTCTTAATAGAGTGGATTATTCGAGTTTATTACTGATCCATTAGAGAGTGATGACACTTGATCAAATAGATGTTCATGAAGTATCAATTAGTTAGTCAGTTAACAAAACTGTTTCAGTTCAATTATATTCATATTCAAAGGCATATTTAACAAACGAAACAAACTGAATAGTAATTATTAACTCCTTATCTACAATCGGTTCTAACTTAATGATATTCGTATTGTGGGACTTTCGAGTGTTTTTCCAATTCTATGTGATAAAAAGGCATCAACATATACAAGGGGAAAACCAAAGCCCTCAAATACAACTCGGAAATCAGCAATCCGATCACACTTGATCGAGAAACTCTGGAAGATGTAGAATCCTTCATATACCTGGGATGCATAATCGATGAACAAAGAGGCTCAGATGCAGATGTAAGGGTGACGATTGGCAAAGCAAGGGCCGCATTCCTTCAATTGAAGAACATATAGAACTCAAAACAACTGACAGCCAATACCAAAGTGAGAATCTTCAGTATGAACGTCAAGGCAGTTCTCCTGTATGGAGCTGGAGCTTGGAGAACTACAACAACCACCATCAAGAAGTACAAGTATTTATAAATGGTTGTCTACGGAAGAAACTCAACATCCATTGGCCGGACATCATCAGCAACAGCGTTTTGTGAGAGAGAACAAACCAGGTTCCAGCTGAAGAGGGAGTTAGGAAAAGACGATGGAAATGGACAGGACATACACTACACAAATCATCAAACTGCATCACGAGGCAAGTCCTAACATGGAAACCTGAAGGAAGGCGCAAAAGAGGGACGCCAAAGAACACATTACATCGAGAAATAAAAGCAGATATGGAAAGGATGAATAACAACTGGAAGGAGCTGGAAAGCATTGGCCCAGGACAGGGTTGGATGGAGAATGCTTGTGAGCGGCCTGTACTCCTTCACGAGGAGTAACAGGTTTAAGTAAGTAATGTGATAAAAAGAATTTGTAACTCTACATTGAACCTAGATATCAAATCACTGCCAGAAGTGCATATTATATTCACAACAATCATTGGATCAACATCAAGAACATTCAAATATTTCAATAAGGTTTCTTCAATTATTAAGAAAAGTGAGTAATTAAAACATTTCATATAGTGCTTAATCCTACTGTACTCAACAGAAATAATGTTTAACTGAATAAGTTATTTAATCTATTCACATCATATCGTACAGGCAAACAAACTAAACTACTTCTTTACATTATCACATACTACATCAAATATACATCCCTTCTGCTACGCAGGAATTTACAAAGCATGCCACACAAGAAAGCGTCAAATAGTTTATTTGTCTACTCACTGGAATATCATAAATATTCTTTAATTTGAGTTGTACAACCTATTTAATGCTCAATTTACTTTAGATTTTCAAGTTAAATCACGGTGTGTTGTGTGCTACTGATGCCTGAAAGCAGAAGGTTATGCAGATCAAACAAAACACAACGAGAACAAAAGATGATTGGTGTTTTAACAAAAGGACAATGAAATCTGAGACGATTGATTGATATTTGCAAATGGAGCAGTCAAGTTCGAGACAATCAATTGACATTTTGGAACTCAAGTATTTCCTGTGTTCACATATATATATTCGATTGGCCCCAATTGTGTTCTCGTTCACTACAATGGTAGTGATAACAAGTAATGCTAACTAAATTAATTGCTAATACTTAATACAAACATTACATAACTATATGTAACAAATCAAAGAACAAATTCAAACTTATTTCTTAACCCCTAATAATAACACTAAGCTATTGAAGCAATATCTGGCTTTATTGTTCATATTTTCAAGTAATCCAAAATGTTATATTTGATTTTCATTTAAATAAAGTGTGCCTGCTTACTACTTTAGAAAAGGTATCCAAGATTAATCTAATGTCATTGATTTAATGTAATATTCACTACTTAAAAACTCTTGTAACCCGTGTTTTAGAATGATGAGTCAAGTTTTGATTAATTGTTGCCTTTAAGCTTTGCGATTAATTCTAATAGGTGAATGTTCAATGAATATATATAAACAGAGATCCCGAACACTTTTCCGTGCATTATTGGGTTAGCATTGTATCATTAAAATGTAATTTTCAGTTAAGACTTCATTTCACGCCCTAACTTGTGTTTTTTTTTGTATTTTCTATCCAACATGTTCATAACAAATGGTGGCGACTAATCCTAGACGCATCAAATTCGATCTTTGGTGAAAACTACTCCTTAATATGCATCATTTATTCACTGAATGAACAGAAAATTGGCCAAAAGTGTTAGATATCACAAATTTGTCAAATATTGGTAATGTTGAAGATAACCTTAACCTCACCTAAAACATCACTTGTCAATCGCAAAATTGTTTTGGATTTATGTATATAATTCCGGTAAAGTAAGATGTGTCTAAGTTTTCTGATATGCGTATAGAAAACATATCTTCTATATTGACGTATGTCACTGACTGGAATAGATCCCCAAAGTCATGAGTGGGATTAGCGCTCAGTCATAAAGTCTATTTCAGCTTTTTAACTGAGCCTAGATTTTATATTAAGGCATTGGGGCTTTTCATGCTACTCTGAGAAACGTACATAACATTAATTTGTTTTAAATTGTTTGTCATCCAAAAGATATTTCACTCATATAAAATCAGCTAAGATTGATTGAGTTATCTTTTTATGTGTTTTCGAAATAGTCCACACATTCAATATGATTCATATATTCGAAGTCAAAGCTAGAATCCCTTTGTTTTAGTAATATTAAATGACATATATACACATTTATGAACAGATAATAAACCATATGTCTTGGACTGTTTTGCAAATATAAATGAATCACTTAAGTAAATATTGTATTGAATGGAAAAACGGAAGTTATACGTCCTACAAAACTCAACAAATCTCTACTACTATAATCAAACTCTTCAATTGTTAAAATTTGTGTGACTGATGACAATCATACTACTAGATAAGAGATATTTCACATTCTTTATAAGCGAAGATGGATTGTGAGTAGCAGTGATATCCATGACACGCGTTTCTTCCTATTTTAGACTCGTCATCTGGATGTACCTGCATCGCAGAGTTGGTCTCCGCTCCGGGATTCGAACCCAGTACCATTCGCTTCAAACGCCATCACGTTATCCACTTAGCTACTGAGTTCTAATAGCCGCTAGCTTGTGCAATGGGTTGAAGTTTAAATTCACCTGGTATTGTTTACTTGAATCTTACCACTGATATTTAGAACTACGATCGATCAGTCACTTATTGGCATATATACAGCACTGGGTGAGAGTCTCAGAGTGAATACCAACTGTGGGGGGCAGGCCCATCTAGCTGACGAGCCCTAAATAGGACGAAACGCGCATCCTGGATTCCACTGCCAGACAAAATCTATCTTTGCTTAGAATGCTTGTGGCTTAAGATAATATCGAGACAATCTACACAGTATGCACATGAGCCAATAAGAGACTGATCAATTGCAGCCCTAAACAACAATGGGAAGATACAAGCAAACGATACCAAGAGAATTTAATAATTAAC